AGGAGAGGAGAGGAGAGGAGAGGAGAGGAGAGGAGAGGAGAGGAGAGGAGCCAGAGCATGTTTCTGTGTGGTGGGTGTGTGTGTTCGCTCCCAGGTAGTAAATGTTGCAACCAGTCTCTGCAAATCTGGATCTTCATGCTTTCCTGTTGCTGTTTATCTCCGGTAAGTCAAACCTTTTCTTTATTTTTCACGTTAAATAGTCGTCAGATAGCAGCAGGGGTAAAATAGGGTCAGGGATGTAGAGTACGGTCTGTGTGTATGAGTGTGTGTGTGTGGTGCAGGGGTTAAATGGTGCACAAAGGCAGATCTCACACACTGTGTACACAGACAAACAACATGGGGTAAAAACTAACAAAAACTTAAAACTCCAATTGTGTTATTACAGGAATATATAATATTTATATGTATTTATATATATTTATATATATATATATACATATTTATATACACACATATATAAATATCTATATATATAGCTTGGATTTTTTATTTTATTTTTTTGCACTGCATTAAGTTCACTGGTAAGCATGATTCTTGTATGTTTTTTTTTTTTGTTTTCTTTGTTTTCTTGTTTTCCGTCTGTGTTATCTTGATTGGTTTCTTGAAGAGCAGATCATGAGACTTCATCTCAGAGTCTCGCTCATGTCCCCAAGCAGCCATTAATCAATTAGTGCGTCCATTCCGGGGCACAGCGAGAGAAAAGGAAAAAAAAAAAAAAAACAGCTGACAGTTGCTCCTCTGTTTCCACCATCCGGGTCCATCTCTTCTCTTCAGCACGCGGTGAATAAACTCCTGCATCTCAGAGTGTGTGAACAGATCCCCCCCTCCCTGCTAACTGTTGGTGCAGGAGACTGGAGGGGGCAATGATTAGGCGGTTTTTCAACAGTCAGAATGTCACAATCTGTAGTGCATGTGTACCTGTGAGCAGGTGGTCGTATAAATGAGAGAAAACATCCAGACTGAGGGAGTGCAGTCCAAGCTGACCACTCATGATAAAGTCTTCTCAGTTTTTCCGAGGTTAAGGAGTTTGTATTACCAGAAGAATCAAGTGGAGGAGAGTTCAAACTGATTGGATGTTAGGTGAATTCTGTCAGAGTGAAGAGGCGACGGGCTAACTGGTTCGTGGTGAGGAGGGTGGTTGTTGGGTTAAGTACGGTGGACCTGATGAAGCCGCGCATCACAAGAGCTCGTACTGCCGCAGGTGCATCCTCTGTATGATGTCCCGACAGTCACTGAAGACGCGCCGGATGTTTTCCGTGTCGACGGCGCAGGTGAAATGCGGGTAGCAGTAATGTCGTCCGTCCCCGCTGGCTGTGCTGATCCTCTGAAGAAACAGGGACGAGACAACAGGTTAGCTATGCTCAGTTTACCACATAAACAGTTTATGCAGCTCTTTTTGTGGGAAATCAAAATATAACTATTTAAATCACTTAAGAAGAACATATAAATCTGTTTCTCTATAATTACCATTTTTGTTTTATTTTATATTATCTGAAAAAAGGACAGCAGGTTTTTTTTTATTTGATTTCATGTAAAATAATTGTTGCTTACAGAATTATGAGATATTAGCTTATTTTAATTTGTTTTATCCTATTTTTATAATTTGTTTTATCCTATTTTTATAAGGTATAGCATATAAGTAGAAAGTATTGTAGTATGTATCTATATTTAAAATGGAAAATAGTTCACTAAAGTGGTATAAAAGCCTTAATGAAATGGAGTATGCGTTAAGTGGGAATCTGCAAAAAAACTCAATATACGCATGGCCTTCATATGAACAGTTGAAAAATAAAAACGTTCAACATAAAGATCAAAGTTATTTTCACTCATCTCTTGATTCAATCTGTTTTTTAAATACAGTAAGTCAGGGGTAACCAATTAAAAATCAGCGGATAAATAAAATCATCAACCAGTAAAGGTCTGGAGACATTTTTAATTATAATACGTTAGTTTAAACAGCATTTAACACTGAAATAAAATGAGTTTTTTTATGCATCCATGTTATACATTGAATTTTTAAATAAATAAAAAAAAGAAAATTTTCCCATTTTAAAATCTTAATTGTTTTTGAAGTAGAGAACAACAATCGTTCAGTTTGGTGTATAGACAATTTCCTGATTCACATATTTCATAAAACACCTGAACTGACCGTTAGTTATTTTTTCTATTTTATGGCTTAATGAGAGCAGTGGGCTTTACGCCGCCCTGCAAGGCTTTAAACCTGGGTTTGAATGGAGACAAAGCCATTCTCAACCACATAATCAACGTGCTCATTTTGTGCCTGGATCGATATTTATTGTTGATTCTGGTCATGGTGGAGAATCCTGCTTCACAGCAGTAGGTTGAGCCAAACATACTCAAAATGTGCAGGGTCATCTTTGCGCACGCCATTTCACTTTTTTTACACTAGCTCACCGCGCATCTTCCAGCAGTCCACACTTTCTTTCTATGCTTTCTTTATCTCATTGCCCGGCTTGCCAAAGGTTAATTGCTGTGTCTAAAAGTGGCTCGCCGCAGTGATCCAGACTGACAGCAGCTCATTGGCTAATTTGTATCACGTGTAGCCTGGTCCCGGGAAGCTCCGGAAGGCTTTACCATATTAACAGGAGAAGCAGCGCAATTGAAGTTAGACACTGTCGTCGGACAACATGCGGGAATTTATAAATGTTTTAAATCAGGTTCGGTCGGGATTATCCAGCAGTTCCACTAATCTGAGACCTCTGCAATAAGTAATTAAGAACTTTTAAATTTAATGGGGATAAAATGGGATTCTTTGTATACGGGAACCTTTTTTATATTAGAACAATAAACATACAATTTATTATACATGTTCTTTACCGTATTAGTAATTGGTCGTTGAAAATGAAAAAATAATAATAATTTGAGGGAAAAACAGCTTTTGTACCGACCAAAAACTCATCCCGTATGAAGTACTTTGCTCTGGTCACTCTGGGATCCTCCCCCTGTTCTGGTATTGCTGTAAAAGAAGGATATCTGGTCACCTTTTCACACAACGACAGCCCATACATTCAATTGATTAATAGCTTTGGTTGTTAAGATTTTATTAAAGCAATAAAATTAGACTTTTATATATTTATTTACATTTCCAGGTAGAATATCATTCGATCAGAGCTTAGCAAATGTTTTACTCGTCCCCTGGAGAAATTCAACAATCTGAAGTTTTACATAAAATATCAGTTCAGCTTCACCTCAGTGGAACTTACCATCGTCAGGCGTAGTGTAGCGTGCAAATTCTGGGAAGTACTCCTCAATTTTAGACTTTCCTGCCAAAACTTTCTCAGCTAGAAGGTCCTGTTTGTTCAGGAAAAGGATAACAGAGATGGTCCGTAACCACCTGGGGAGTGAAGTTACAAATTCAGGCGTTAGATATTTTTATAGAAATAATAAACTAATATCTAATTGCTTTGACAAAATCTCTGGTTGGACTTGGGGAAAGAGATTTGCAAATTTTTTTGGGCTTCTGACCCATAGAATAATATCAGAAACATCTCAAAAGTCCCAAAGTATTGGTCGGAATACAAAAATAACTAAAAATAAAAAATATTAACCAGAGAAACAGCACCAACAACCAACATATTCGACCCCACCGTTGGTAATCAATGGTGTAAAAAAAGCTAAAAAATAAACTGCTGGACCTGTTGTTCCAAATGTTTTTAAACAGGTTGAGAGCTTCCTGTAGTCTGTTGGTCTGATTGTCTTCTCTGATCACCATGTTGTAGCTGCTGCTCGCCACCACAAAGATAATGGCCGTCACATCTGAAACACACACATAAACATGGCTTCATCAAAATAGGGTTGTTTTTTTTTCTTTCCCCAACTATGATTTCCAAGACAAATTTGTGGCAGAAACACAGATATAAGTACTTGCATACATTCAAACTGTAAAACACAATTTATTACAAATGGAAAATTACTTTTTTTTTATAATCCATTTTTCTTCTACTTAAAGTATTAAAAGTGTCATCAAACCGTTAAAACATTGGATCCATTTTCGCCGTTCATCCCTCTGACCGCCAACGTCAAACATACTGGGACACAAAGACAGTTAACAATTAATTTAATGCTAAAAGTACAGGAAAAAAAATTTATTCTGACAACTTTTATAATGAAAATAAAACACAAGGAAATGGATTTTGACAACAACTTAAAATACACTTGAGTAATTTATTGTGACTTTCACATTCATTTGTGAGGAGTTTGGTCTGTTGCTTACTGAAAATTAACTTTGTCGATTTGAAACTTGGTTTCAAAGATCCCAGATGTCAGAACTCTGCATCTCAAGAGGTCCTGAAAGAGAAGGAAGTGGAAATGAGTGAAGCGCAAACAGAAAACCTACTCTTGTATCTTCAGATCTGGAGGAAAACATGCTTTTCCAACGTTTCCTTTTCCATTTTGAACAAAAAATTAGCCTAAAGCTGTGTGGCTTTATTCAACTCAAGGATTTGTATTGAAAAGCATCAATGGATGGTTTTTCATTTTTAAATCTTAAGTTTATACATTTTTGTTATTATATCCTATGCGAATAAAGGTTAAAATGATAATAGAAAAGGGGAAAAATAAAATTTGATAAAACATAATTAATAGGACAATGGATTCTGATTCAAGTCTGGGTTAAAAAAAATGAAATAGTGAACTAAAAGTTTCTGTTCTGTTTCTGTTCAACTGATTTACCTTTTAAATAATTATTTTCATTTTTTTTTTCATCCCAACTGTATATCTGATTTCAGTGGTTCCCACCAGCGAGGTCCAGCTAGCTGGAAGGACAGTGATAACAAACTACTTTGAAATCAAACTATGTCAAACTGTTTATTTTGATTTTTTGTCACTTTCTGTGACAAAAAAGATCAAAAGAACATATCAAACCTGAATCACAGCCTTTTCTGCTGTTCCCATTGTAACAATCTTCTTCCACCCCACCCTCAGTGACTAGGGGTCTAAATAATAAGCGGCGATCCGATGCATCGACACGTCCGCAAGAGTATCGATTCATAGTTTCATCTTTTTATCTATTTGCTCCTGGAACAACTTTGCTGCTTCTGTTATTTGCTGTTGTTTCTCAAATAAAATGCATAATGATAATACAGCTTTCATTTATTTATTTTGACATTGAAATAGTGTCTAGCCAGTAAGGTAAAAAAAACAAAAAAACAAAGAACAATCAAGTCGTATCGTATCGTAGTGTATTCTTGAGTATCAAAAATAATCGAATGGTTGGGTCAGGAAATCAATACTGAATCGACTCGCCAAGATGGGTGTGATTTACACTCCTGTCAGTGACCCTGGAATAATCTGTGCTACCCCCAGACCAAGTTCTTTTAATGGTCTAATTGTGGAATTAATTGGGTAGAACTGATATAAAAACATGCTGAAGGGTTCCAGAATCCTAGTTATAGGCTGAAAGTCCCTCAATGAAAGGGGCTCAGGGAACCCCTCACAGTCATAAGGGTGTTGTTTAAGAGGAAGACACTCCACCCTCACTGATAAATGGGTACATTTGTATATAAATGTTTTTACTGCACTAAACCACTGGTAGAACTTCATCTGGGTTAAAGTTTACTGCAGTGTTTTTCATGTAACTGAGCTATATACGACACTGGAAACCCTGTCCTGTTATACATTCCTACTGTCCGAGCTTTTTAGCCACACATGAATGTTTCATTTAATTTAAAGAAATGAAAGAAACAAGCATATGCAGAAGCTATTTCTTAAATAATTTATCCACACAAAAACCGACCCTATATAAAATACTAACTGCCCCCTAAATTTAAACATAATCGGTGGCAAATGATGTTTAGCTTTAAGTCTGAATTAAGTCCAGACTTAAAGCCATCATACTCCCAAGATCAGATTTGGTACGACTGTCTTTTTCTGAACTGCTGTGTTATGACCCATTTACACTAACCCTCGGAAACAGAGCTGTGCCGGGTTTGGATCAGTTAAACATGCAGAGCTCGGTTCCTTACAACCGTTTACACATTAAGCTAGCATGGTTCCTCGGCTCCTATCGGCGATCCACGATACTACAGCTCTCAAGGTGGGGATTACGCCAACAAAAATGGGGACCTTAACATTCAGGAACTTAAGTGCTGGATAGCGTCCTCCGCCCAAATTTCAATGAAAGCCTCGGTCTCGGCATCATCCCAGGTCGCACCCCCCTCTTTTGATGCCACTTACTGTTAATAGGCTGAGAAGAAGTTCATGTTGTGAACAGGTGAAGAGATCTGTAAATTGCAGAGCTCGACACGCTGGAAAACCCGCAAAATGAGTCAGCTGACTGTAAACAGGAAATGACGCGGTCTGCTCATGCGCTCTTTGTTACTAGAGAACCGAGCCACAACTGAACCGTGCCGAGCCCTAATAGCTGAACTAGTAATAGATTTAGCGCGGTTAGGTGATGTCTGGCACGGTCCAGTTCAGTTGCGTTCCATTTACACTCATATCTCGGTTACCGTGCTCAGACCGTTTTTGGTACAGTTTCAAAAGGGTAATGTAAACGGGGTAATAGTTTTATACCTAATGTAGTAGGATTCACACCGTGCAAAAAAGTCCACTTTTTCTCAGTATTACACATAATATTTACCCAGGTATACTGAGTGCTTTTTAGGTTGTTTTTATTTTACCTTTTCTTTGTTCAGGATGTCACCATTGCAACCTAATGGATGCCATTTGAGCCCAGTTATTATTTTTATTGTTGAATTATAGTTCTCCCTGGGTTCTTTTGAGACAAACTGAATGGGCTGACAGTGAATTATTGGAGTAATTCTTTGTAATCTGATCACACCCTGAAAGGTTGATGTTTTCCTCATTTGTGAATAATAAGTAGCTCAAAGATGGCAAAAACTTTATTTCTCGTCTGCAAGTGAACAGGTCTGGGTGTGACATGAGAAAGTGAAATAAAAAATGCAGTTAATAACATTTCATTAATGATTTTCTTATATGATCAGGTTGTCTTAGATTAACTTCTCCTTTAATAAACTTAATCAATTAATTTAATATTTCTCAGGTTGTCCTGTTAGATATCAAGATTTGTTTAATGATCAGGAAAATTTAAGTGCGACAAAAAAGGAAAAACCAAAAGATATCTGCAGGGAGGAACAAAAAAACATGCATTCTCACCAAAATGAGCAATAAACAAAGGTGTGATCAATAAGGGGAAGTTTTTATTTTATTTAGATAACTTTTGTAAGGGATTTCTTTGAATTAAGTGTATAATTGATTATGTCAATCTGGTTTTCTGTTACCTGATCAGTGGGTGTGTAGTCATTCTGCCTCACCACATCAATCCGGTCTAAGAAGCTGCAAACAGAAGATAAAAAAAAAAAAAAAAGAAAATGTTCAGAACTGAGCTTTGCTACAAACCTACACACCAATGAAGGCAGTCGGGACTGTTTTTATGATTACAATTCCCCGCATGTCCTGCCAATGTGTGAGCAGTCCAGACTAGCAACATACAAAGTCTGTGTACAGTCAATAGTGAAAGCATGAGGAGGGCCGGAGCGGCTGGGACTGAACAACCACAAGGGGGCGTTGTGTTTGAAGTCGCTGTGAGATCAGAGGCAGCCAGTCTGAGTCACCAGCAGCCGTTTGCTCTGTCAGACCAGAAGAGCCTCGTCAATGGAGCTGCTGTAGTAGTACAGGAGTACAGGAGGAGGAGTGTGGATCGGTGTGTGTGGATTTGGCTATGTGTATGTGCGTGGGTGGGTATGCAGGCCCACAGTGCGTTCAGCTTTCCAGACTGCCCACCCATAGGCATGTTAATTGTTTTGCTGCACTGAGTGATAGTGCAGCTGCTTTTCAAGGTGTGCGAGGCGCTCTCATGCTTTCAGGATGACCGAATCAGAGTCAGCTGCTTTGAGGTGTTTGCTCCATCGAGTCAGGGCTGATGAGGGAGTGAGGAAACACTGAGGTCAGTTCAGATACACTGAGAGGAAATCTTTAAACTACTGTGGCAATAACTCCCTCTTCTACAAAAAAAAACTAAGAAATCCCAGCGAAGAGAATCAATCAACACGAGAGTCTGCAGCAAAGACTACATACTTATCACATATCTAAGGTTAAAAAAAATCTTTATCTCAAGAACTGCCTAGTTACACAATCTATAAAAGAAATAAAGTAAATAAAGTCGAAAGTTGGGAAAATAGATTTGAAGTACAATGGCTGTCAGACGTGTTTATGGGTATAAATTAGCAAGACGTCTTGAGTTTACATAGAGAGGTATGCTACCGAACTGTGTAATGCCACACTTCATCTTCAAGACCATTTAACATTTTTTCCACAGAGGGTATAATTCAGCACACGAGCGACTAATTTCATTTCCAAGTTTAAACATCAAATTTGATAAACCGGTCTGAACAAACCGGGATCTTAGGAAAGAGGCTTAAGAGACACATAATAATGGATGACAAAAAAAGGCACAGCAGTGATATGAACTAAAAACAAAACCAAAAGATAAAATCATTTGGACAACTTCAGGCCTCAAAGAATAAACAACTGTATTTGTGATTTTACTTGCCTATTTAAGGTATCAAAGGTGAAAACTCTTAGAATTTTTAGTCTTTAAGCTCAAAAAAATCTTTTTTTCTTTTGTGTTTTATTGTCATAAAAAAAAGGAATTGTTAAGTTCAAAATCTATGCTGACAAAAAACCCCGAACAGTGCATCTCCAGTTGAAATTCTTTTGGAAATAAACATTAAGAACCTGTTTAAACAGCAATATATATTTTTTTAAATGTATTTTGAATTTATCAAGTCTGACAATTCTAACGCACAAATAAGGGTGTTATCCTGTATTTTATTATTTCACAGTTGAAGTTTGTTACATTGAATAGTTGACAAAATACATTTTTTTTAATTCTGTTTTTGCACATTTAAGTAGTTTAAAAAAAGAATTAGAAATTTGGAAAAAAGAAAAAAACAAAAAACAGAAACTGCAGGTAATACAGAAAACCAGAGTTCAGTGCCAGCAGCTAAATCAGGGCGCTGTGCAACAAAAACTAAGATTCAAATTCAACACTGTGCTGTTCAGTAAGATTTAGTTTAAGTTTGTGGTGCTCCCTAGATAATTCAAATATTTTTTAGATACTTTTTTTTGTCTTTTACATTTAAAAAAATAAACAAAACTTCAAAAAAGGCAGACTGACCAAAATTGTATTAATGTGTAGAATATAAATTATTTGAAAAAAGTTTCTGTAGTAAAAAGTTACTCACCAGAAACAAATAGAAAAAAGCAAGAATTGCCAATAAAAAAAATGTCAGGATGAAATATTGATTTTTCTTTTGTAAAACAAAAACCAAAACAGGCAAATTTGGTGATTTTCCCCCTGAATGTAGCCGCCTCCTGGAGAACAGGCATGTAAGCTCCCACTGGGAAAAGAAGGAATGTGGCAGTCAGGGGTGAAATGTGACATTAGAGCTGCAGGTAACCCACCAGGCAGAGAGGGAGGGGGTGGGAATGTGGAAGCTGAAGTACTGGACGGCTTACTGGACCAACGAAGGGAAGGAGAGTTCAGTAAGAGGGCGAATGGAGATACAACAACAGGCTCAAAGAAGGCAACCAGACTTTTGCTTAGTTTTTCTGAATAGATTCAACAACAATCCAGGAGTCTTTGTCAATTCTGGAATCTCACTGTTGAGCAACTAGGAGTTTGGGAGCTGCTGTTTTTTAACAAAAAGAGTCCTAACCTCGTCAGAGCACTCCAGGTTGCTCAACTGTTAGCCTCCAGAGTTGATAAAGATTGCTAGATCAGTGTAGAAACATTTGAAAAAACTAACAGTCTGGTCTAGTCCTAAGATTTAAGCCTGCTGTAGTTGTCATGACTCGGATGACAGAGAGTCTGCAAAGGCAGAACAAATGTGCATTTCTCTGTATGAAACATGCACAGAAGCTGCTTATCAAGCAACCAGTCAGGTACCATCGGCTTTTTGCTGAAATAAGAGGCTCAGCTGTTCCCGCAGAACAGAAGTGGAGAACCGTTTGGAGCCAGGCCGCCTCACATCCACTGCCTAATCCTCCGCAATCATCTAACTTGGCCTTCCCCGAACAGTCCCCTACAGAGCTCCCAGCTACATAAATAAGCTGGATGTGACAGAACCTGAAAGCTGCAGCTCTAATCATGACAGAGTTAACATGGCTTCCCTTGCCAAACTCATGTTTATACGCGGCTCTGGTCTGAGGCGACGGCACGCCTAGCACAAACACACCGCTCAGTTTTTAGCAGTTCTGCCTATTAATAGGAGAAGTGCCAATAATAACCGTGTCTAGTAAGTTGAACTGAATAAAAGTGGCTGCCCCAGTAACAGAGAGGTCTGCGGTGTTATGTATAACCTGCCAGGGTTATTCTGGGGTAGCAGACAGGCTGACTTAAACCATGGAAATACACACAGGACACTCGTCTGCAGAGTGAAAATAGCTCAGTATTTACAAGAAAAGATAACGTCTGTTTTTTTTTGTATCATTTTGTTCCTTATTTAAAGGTTAAACAGCTGTAAAGGGATGGTTTGATAGAAAGTTTAATTTTAAAAGGACTCACCTATTTTTAAATGTTCCATGTGACCTTTTTCTTTATTGGGACACTGTGTTTTTGCTACAGTCATAAAAATAGAAGCAAAAAAAAAAAAGGTTTGAATAATTCCAAGAAAAAAAAGGAAATTGTCTCTCTAGTATTTTCCCTTTCATTTTAAACTCTCTCTTAAAAGACGGTAACTAGGAAGGCACACTGAAAATATTTCCAGCGACATGTGATTGTATCCACTCTGCATTTTCAAGTTCTGTTTTTCTTTTTTTTTTTTTTACTTCCACATTTGGCTAAAATCATGAGATCTTTACGTGCTGAGGAGCACCAGCAGCTGATAACGGTTCCACAATGCATTTAACCCTAAAGCAGAACATTTAAGACTCAGGATTACTGAAAGATCAGGACCATTAGATTTGTAGGCCAGCTTGTAGATTTCATACAAAAGTTTGAAAAAAATGTTTTTCTAAATTTACACAAAGAAAATCTCAATTTTAAATCAAATAACTTGCAAGGCCAAGCTGGTCTGATTAATTATTTAAAGAAAAATCCTAAAAGAAAATATATAAATATTCCCTTTTTAAAACTGATTTTAATGTTACTTTATGAGACGTTTTAGAGGGCATGATTCAGTGCGAGACAAACGCAGAACATCTGGAAAACGTTGCCCCGGATCAGAGCTGCTGCTCGGTTCGGCTGTGTGAGAAACAGGCGGACTCACACACTAGCAGGTTAGCAGTAGGACAGCGTTCCTAAAAAGCTTCCTTTTTAACATCTGCCGCCAAACTACTGACATATTCTTGATTTTTGCAACTTTAACAAGTCATCGCCTAAATATTTGCAGAATTTCCTTGTAAAAACAAAAGCTTTGCGTTCGTCTTTATTCACTTTAACTAGAATGAGCCGAGTTTGTCTGCATTTATCTCTGTCTTGTGGTTTCTTTAATGGTTTGATGTTTACATGTTTGTTCACTGTGAACCAAATTAAATAAAACATAAGATCAGATGTTTTGAATCCAACAAAATTGAATGTGTTCATATCTTTAAAAAAAAAGAAGCTAAAAATAGTTTTCTTTAAATTTAATATATCAAATGAGAATCGCAGGGAAAATTAAAAAGGAAAGATAATAAATCTCTTAGATAAACAATAATGCTTTTTCCTTTGTAAAACTAAAACTTTAAAATGCTAATAAATTAACAACTATTTAACGAGGTCATTTCATTGTAAGCTGTTAAATGTAATCTTTTTTTTACTATGCTATTTGCTATTAAAAGTTTGAACACTAGTAATGCATTAATTAATCAAGTTTCCTTAAAAAGTCAAATACAGTCTGACTTATGGAAAACTAAAAGCGATATTCTTCAACTCTGTGTGCTTAAGAAAATATATGCACATTTGCAAAAGAGAAGTCCGGTCCCGGGACTTCCTTAAGGAGTGCAGAGAAAAGACTACGGCCCACTGAAAGGATGAATTCTGGGGGCTTTACACCCTCTTTGTACATTAACGCCTCGACCTGCCAGGCGTCGCAACCGAGGGCTTCACCAGCCGACTCCTATTCTCTCTCTAACACAAACACACGCTGTATGCTGTGAGAGGGAGAGTTGGAGAAAGACGAGGAAAGAAAGGAGAGAGAAGGCTGTGTCTGACATTACAGCGCTGCTCCAAAAATAGCTCCCTGGCGCCCTGGCCTCCAGCTTGGTTGTCATGGTGACAGAACCACAGGCTCTAAAAATAGAAAACGGCTCCAAATCCTGTGCAGCTGGAGAGAGACAAGAGAGGGAGAAGA